CGGCGGCGCTGCACGGGGCATTTTTGAGAAATTTGCAAAAACCCTGGGGAAGGGGGTGCGTGAGAATGCCCCTCCAGCACGGCGCAATTTAATGGAAAAGTTACCAAAGTTTTTTTTTCCAAGTTGTAGCTAGGACCTTTTTAATCCGCGCACCGAAGGGGGGGGGGGTGGTCATCCACCCCCCCCCCCCAGGTTTTTAGTGAATAGTGGAAAAACCGTGGCGCGTAGCGCCGCGAAATTTGGCATGACTATTCTCTCATAACTTTTACGCAAGGTGTGCAAGTTTGAACCTCCTAACTTTTAACCCGCGCCCCGTTGGGCTCTGCCGAGTAATGCGCCCCATTGGGGGGGGGGGGCATTTTGGCCCCCCTAAGATCTCGAGAACCACGCAACCTAGCGACAAGCGGCAAACGGTGTTGGATAGCCCTATCAGGGAACTACCTTGTGACCCAATTTTATTGACCTAGGTCAAACCGATGACGTCACAGGTCAGGTCAAAGGTCCAATTTTCACCGTTTACAGGCATTTCAAGAAATACGTTGTAAAATCGAGTAAAATGCATTTCATTGGAAATCATCGATGGGGAAATGTTCTTCAAACACGTATTTTGCTATTTGAGGTCACTGATACCAGGTCAGGTCACAGAGGTCAGGTCACGGGGGGGTCACAATATGAAAGTGTCGTGTGATACATGTTTTATGGTCCATTTTACATGACAAATGCGATTATGTGGGTCAACAAGCCTTTGGGACCAGCTAAGGTCACGTTTTGGTCAAGGTCAGGTCAAATTAGGTCAAATTTCAAAGTTAATATTTGTGCATAAAATGGGTATCGAATCGATGCAGCTCGTCACGGGGAGTTCAATGGTCGGCAATCTTTGATTTGCCGTAAGTGGTCTAGAATCGCTAAAAATTGAGTTCAAAAATTTGACGTCATCATTTTTGAACAGTTTTTCGCTATAACTTGGCCAAAAAAACGATATATCGATCTGAAATTTGGTATGTATATAGAAAAGCGCAGGGAATATCACATGTACTCCGTTTTTTTCGAAATTCGGAAAAAAATTGGATTTTTTAGTTTTTTCTAAAAAAATCAATTTTTAGAATTTTTGGGGTCAAAAGCCAAAAATTTTGAAAATCCGAGATAGCAGTTTTGTAGCGCCGCTTTTTGTCTACTAGACCATATAAAGAACTTTGAAATTGCTTGATAACTGTAGATTTGGTGAGCGTTTCAAGATTGCATGTTTTTTGCTCATTTTTGCTCGAACATGACCTCAGTTTGACCTCAATAACTCCTGACCTAAGGTGACCTAAGACTTGAAATTTAGTGTGAAGGTGTCAAATTGATGCCCGGGAAGGTACTCAAAATTTGGCGGCGCTGCGCGCCGCCGTTTTCTTGCTATTTAGGAAAAACCACAGGGGGGAGCCAAAATGGTCCCCCCAACGGAGCGATGGTTAAGGTCAGGTCACCAGGTCACTTTGAATGACCCAACCTCAAGTCACTTTTTTGCAACTTTGCCACCGTGTCAGAGCTACAGTAGATGACGTAGGCGTCAATGGGGGAAAATCAACTACCTGTTTTTTTTCCACTAAACGCGTCGGAATGGTCCCATATACCATACCTACGTGACTTCATATACGATCAACCTTCACTACCTTGAGGCCTGTTTTGCTGTTGGCCAGCTGTAAGGTCATGTGACGTCATCAAAGGTCACCAACGGTTTTTTGCCAATAACTCCTTACAGGAATGAGATACAGACGCGCGGATGGTCTCATTGTGTTCAGCTCGTCAAGGCGCATCGAATGATATACATGATGACTTCGAGGTCACGTGACCTGAGGTCAACCTTTGACCTTGACCTTTCGAGGTCAACATATATAATATGATTCGATGCGGATTGACGAGAGGATCACGATGATGCCCTTAGTTTGTTCCTAACTTGACTAATTCGAACGTTATTCGAGAAAAGCTCTCTCCATTTCTAGCGCCGCCATTTTGACTTTCTTGACTCCTGTGGCGTCATCTTTGACCTGACCTGAAAATGACCTTTGTAAAAATTGTAGACCTTGTCCATGCGTACCCCATGCCGTTTACCGCTTGTCGCTATCTTGCTTCGTTCTCGAGATGTCAGGGGGGCGGTCATCCACCCCCTCCCGTCGGTTCTAAGTTGGCGCAGATCCCCGTCGGTGCGCGGGTTTAGTAACATAAAATATGCGTTTCCCTGTGGGTATATTATATTTGAGACAAAACTGAATTCAAAACTTCGACTAAAAATATTGTTTTCAAAATTCCCCACTCAAAGCTGCACCAACGTGCACAAAAATGTCAAACATCAAATGTTTTCCTTCTATGTCGTTTTTACTAAATCGCTGAGGTCTGTATCAAATAGCCTGAGTCATATCAAATATGCTATGATACTGTTCAGTGTTCAAGAATCTGCTGAATACCTTACGGTCCTGAGCCTGCATTCCACCTGCATTATGCAGCCAGTTATGTACCTTTAGTGAAATATTTAGCGGCTAGCCCCTACCATTGCTGACACGCCAAGCCTCCTCCTCAGGTTCCTCCACGGATCGGTGCGCCTGCCCTGCCGGCTTCAGCCGCTGCGCCGGCCGCTGTCTCAGGGTGCTGCCTGACCTCGCAGTTTACGCCGATGCCGAGCAGGCGTGCGCGGCACTGTCGGCCCACCTGGCTGTGCCCCGTTCGGAGCAGGAGAACCAGTGCGCCCAGCAGATGATCGGTGGTGGGCCGGTGTGGCTCGGGGTCTCCGATCGCAGCGTCAGCATGCACTGGGAGGCCGCCGACGGCTGCGGCACACTCGCGGTGCCGCAGCACTGGTGGGACCCCGGACAGCCAGTGGACAACGACGAACACTGCGTGGCGATGACGACCCGAAAGACTTGGAACGACGCCAGCTGCACCCGAGAGTTCGAGGCCAAGAAGCCACTCTGTCAACTGAAGGCGTGCTACCAACCTGACTGCGACGGTGTGTAGTCAGGCCTGAGTCAAACAGTCTGTACCCGAGACCGAGTCAAACAGTCTTAACCCGGCAGTTGCTGGGGTATTTCGCCACCCACCGTTTGCTGGGGGGGGGGGGGGCGTTAAACGCCCCCAACCGATAACTCGAGAACCAATGGGCGCAGCGAAACGCACGAGGCGGCAAACGAAAGAACGCGACGAGAAGCTTCAGATGAGTACTTTAAAGTTGAATTTTGAGGTCACAGGTCGGGTCAAGGTCAGGTCAAACACCTGAAATCGGGCTTTCAGTAGCATGGACTTCAGGACTTCGCAATGGGCGCCTCTCGTCATAAACTCTGTCAAAACGGTGCACAATCCATCATATAAGGCCTACAAGAGTGTCAGCTCCATGTAGGGGTCAGTCAAGAATAGGTCAGGGTCAAGGTCAGGTCAACCGGGCAGGCACATATCCCCGAAAATCAAAACTGATATTCGCAGCCTGTGACACATGTTTTATGGGCAATTTGGGGCGTAGAACATGATAGTGACATTCATTTTATCATATGTATACGTGTTTGGCTCAAAAAGTTCAATTTAAGAAATGCATGTATCATGGTCGTGAAGTAGTCACGAGAAATTGCAAAGATTCAGCTTAAGATTTTGGAAAATGCGGAACGATAATCAATAATCGAAGATAGCCATTTGATTGTTCATGGTATTGGCAGTCTAATGGCGTTTACGGCATGTCTGTATGTCTATTCGGTCATTTTATATGATTTTTTGAACATATGCCGTTTTTGGTCGAAAACTCAGAAATCATGACCTCAATAAAAACTCGATAAGTATCTCAAAAAAAATCCGACGGATTTTTTTGAAACTTTGTCACAATAAACTATAATCGATTCCCTACAGGTACACAAAATTTGGCGCGCCTGCTGCGCGCCGTTTTTATTATATGGCCCGGCGAAAAAAGTGGGGGCGCTTAACGCCTCCCCCCAGCACTTCGCGGGTAGTCTCCGCGCCTGAGTCAGACGGTCTGCACCGGCCTCAGGCCTGAGTCGGATGGAGCCGAGCGACAGCTCAGGTCGGAATACCCAGGCCATTCGACTATGCCAGTGGATTCGCCGCGACTGGATTGGAAGCCCTCTGCCCTGCGCCACAGACGTTTGCATTTCGAGCGTGGATGACGACAATCACAAATCCTAACATACCAGAAGTTTCGGCTACAGGGTGCCTTCGTCAGTGGTTATCATTATATGAATAATAAACGTTAAGTTACATAAGACAGCATGAAACATGATATTACCCAGGAAACATTTTAGTAAAGCAGTGTAGTATGGTTCGTACTGTGATTGTCACACGTTGGCTGTAGCTTTATTTATTCATCTGATGACCAAGTTACCCTGTGGCCAAGACGTCCAGAATTCTAGTGGTTTGTGATTGTGGTCATTTTCGTTCGAATATATCATTTCACATCCCACTGTTCACAGACGATTGTGTTGCTTTTGTTTTGCACTTTTCGGAGTGTTGTACATGTGCAATAAAATGAATAAATGAAACCTTATTTAGTTAAATGCTTGTATGAAGTGATTGCTTGGTATTCGGTATTCAATATCAACTATGTTATATTTAGGTTTACGAGTATAATAGGCAAACACTAGCCAGTTGAAGTTCACTGAGCAGAAGACACCTTATTAAAATAACCGCATAATAGCCGCTTTCACGACGGCCAGCTGGTACATATTTGGTGCAGATTAGGTGTAAATTTGGTACGTACAGATTTGTTCAAATTAGGTTCATTGTGTTTCTACAAAGTTGTCTATTTGGGTTGCACAGATGCTTATACACCTATTTTCTTTTTCAAATTATCAGACGTTATTTTCGATTAAAACACTAAAATGAATCCATGATGCGAAAAATATGTTATAACAGAGATTAGGTGGAGATTTGGTCAGATAAGGTGCATTCACCAAATAGCCTGTCGTGAAGACGGCTATTATATGTTAATCCGCATGTACAGCACGCGTCTCGAAAAGATGAAGAAGATTATTCACTTAATATTGCAGCAATGAAACACACATTACAAACTTGGTTACATCATCTGTCAGGCAAACTAAGAACAAGCTAGATGATATTGTTAACTGCTTGACCACACCCTTTGATCAACGCACAAGAACGTTTTCCGAACTCAGCGAGTGTCACCCGTTCGCGGTCTGTGCGTACCGCCGCTGTGGCGCCGCCTCGGGTTCGACTCCCGATCCTGGCCATCACTTTTATCGCTGTCGCTGTCGTCTGAGCTGGACTCGGGCTCTGTTTCTGTGTCCACCTCTGCCGGACTAAACTTGTTCCTCAGCACAAACAGGCGCTCAATGCTGGAGCTGAATATCAGCAGGCACGGAGGGATCGAGACGCAGACGGCCACAAATATCATCCCCATCGCCAGCTCGGCGGCCACCATGCTGGAACGGACAGAGCGCGCTGGTATGTCACTCACGGGACCAGCGAGGCTATATGCTAACGGTCGTAGTCCCCCCCCCCCCCGCAAAAGAACGAGGCTGGACATGGGTCAGAAATGGCAGACGCGTGGACGGGAAAAATAATTAGTTGACTCGCTGGTCATGAATGAAAAATTATCGGCATTACCAACACAAACCGACACAAACAACAACAGGGGTTGTAATGGATATATATATATATATATATATATATATATATATATATATATATATATATATATATATATATATATATATATATATATATATATATATATATATATATATATATATATATATATATATATATATATATATAGAAAAACGACACAAGCCACCACAACCTGCGCAACAACAACAACCTACCAAGGTCCATCACCTGTATTACAGGAACTACATGAACACACAACACAAAACTGATGAGAAGATCCTCAGAGACATGTTGAAGAAGAACATCACCTGCACAGACGACAATAGTCAGGTTCAACTTCACATCTTTTACCGAAACAAGAAAACATCCCAACTAGTGATGAAAAACAGTCCCGCTTCGACAAAGGCATCGAACCGCACCAACGTAATTTACAAATTTACGTGTCCACACAAGGATTGTAGGCCTTGTAACAACCATTACATTGGTGCGACTACGACAACTTTGTCGAGACGTTTGACTATGCACATCCAGGATGACACAGGACCAGTCGAACATTGGGTAGTCACACACAAACAAAAACCCACTCACAAACTACTCAAAGACAGCACCGACATCATCGACGCCAACAGCGACCACTATCGCTTATTCATCCAAGAGGCCATATACATCAGCAGACATAAGCCACCACTTAACATACAGAGATACACCAACATCTCACTGGCGCTCTGGGGTGTATGATCCTGATGGGAAAAGTGATGGGGAACGGTCCTTATCGGCCCTGTTCATGTGCTCCAACCGAATAGCTGGAGACTGTGCGTTATGAAAAATGCTTGTCTGTGTTATGTGTATGACGTATGTGTCATTAGGTATGCATATATATATATATATATATATATATATATATATATATATATATATATATATATATATATATATATATATATATATATATATATATATATATATATATATATATAGGTATATGTGTAATATACAATACCTGTATGGAAAAGAATGATTTATCATTCACTTTATTAGATACTACCATCAACTACGGTTGACAATTCGGGAAAACTGTAATCTATTGAGTTTTTACGAAAGGGTAAGAAAAAACAGGGATAAAAATCAACAAAAATGAAACACCTCGGTGCTCATTCTTGTTAAAGTAAGATTTTCTTACTTTCACCTGCTTTTTTTTCTTTGCTGGTCTTCTAAATCGAAAATGTCGATTTTTCCCCGGCGAGCACTTAGCTAGCCTAGCAGGTCAATTAGTAGGTACTCGGACTCCTATAGATCGTCTCGCTTGCCTTGTATCACTCGTGTTTTGTCTGCTTCTGTTGTTTTCCTTTTTGCGACGGCTGTCTTGTAAACAGGTCGATTTTTATAGCTGTTAAAAAGTAAACGTCAATGATGGTCTCTAAATCGAAAAATCGCGTGCAAAAAAAGCAATGCATGTGATAGATATTCAGTTAACTCTGGGACATTTTGTATGATGTCATGATTAGTCCCTTTTAACCGACGGCCTTGGCCCCAATACATAGAGCCTGAAAATGTCCCACAAAACGGGCACGCATGGTCCACCGCCGTTCAGTAAGGAACGACACAAAACGATGATTTTGGAGTATTGAGTCAGTTCGAAGCATACGATCGTCGAGGAGATGCCTAAAAAAAGACGTTAAATAATGCACGAACAAGCTTGTAGTCAGGGTTTCGGGGTCGTGGTAGTGCTCTTCCGACTCCGACTCCGACTCCGACTCCGACTCCGACTCCGACCCCGTGTCTGATACAAAGGGCAATGGTGGCTGCCAAAATTCCGCGTGATATGACGCGCTATGTTAGGTCTACAGGGTGTCGGGAAAGTCCTGATGCTTTTCAACATTTTAATGCCATTAGACTAGAGACCTCATTACTTTTTAACAAGTAAAAAAAAAAAATAATAATAATCACCCTGTACTGCTTGCTAGATATCACGTTGGCTGCCACTTTTGCCACTTCTGTCTTGGTCCCTACCTCCTTATCAATCAACAGTTCCACACCAGAGCAGTCGCCTGGCATGCGTTCACTGTCCTTAAAGTCTTCTACAGTGTCCACCAAAGTAGCCCCGCGTCCGCCCCCGCCTCTGGGCTGGCACGTCGGCACGTCTTCTGCACCACTGCGGTGACCGGGACAGGTGTTCCATCCCTGGTGCACCGCTGCACAGTTCAGACAGGTGGCCGGGACGCCGCTGTCACACGGAACCCGACACACCCAATGGCACCGGCTCCAACTGTGGCACGGCATGGCTGCGCCTGCCTGACTGCATATCAGCCTTACGCTTTGTCTGTATGCGTGGCGTATGTGCTTATGGGCACGTATGTACGTACCCAAGTGTTTACATACTCGTATTTACATACCGTGCGTTTGGTGGGCACGGTATGTAAATGCGAGATGTGTCTTATCCCGCGCACCGACGGGGGTCTGCGCCAACTTAGTACCGACGGGGGGGGGGGGCGGATGACCGCCCCCCCCCTGAGATCTCGAGAACGAAGCAAGATAGCGACAAGCGGTAAACGGCATCGGATACGCACGGACAAGGTCTACAATTTTTACTAAGGTCATTTTCAGGTCAGGTCAAAGATGACGTCACAGGGGTCGAAAAAGTCAAAATGGCGGCGCTAGATATGGAGAGGGTTTTTCTCGAATAACTTTCGAAGTAGTCAAGATAGGAACAAACTAAGGGCATCATCGTGATCCTCTCGTCAATCCGCATCGAATGATATATATGTTGACCTCGAAAGGTCAAGGTCAAAGGTTGACCTCAGGTCACGTGACCTCGAGGTCATCATGTATATCATTCGATGCGTCTTGACGAGCTGAACACAATGAGACCATCCGCGCGGCTGTATCTTGTTCCTGTAAGGAGTTATTGGCAAAAAACCTTTGGTGACCTTTGATGACGTCACATGACCTTACAGCTGCCCAACAGCAAAACAGACCTCAAGGTAGTGAAGGTTGATCGTATGTGAAGTCATGTATGGTATATGGGGCCATTCCGACCCGTTTTAGTGGTAAAAACAGGGAGTTGATTTTTCCCCCATTGACTTATAATGGGGAGGTTGCGAAATTGACCTGACCTTAGGTCACCGACATCAAAATTCCGAGATATACAAATTGTAGCTACTAATGACCTAATAACATCCTGCGACTTTCAAAGGCCTCCGACATCTACTGTAGCTCTGGCACGGTGACAAAGTTGCAAAAAAGTGAGTTGAGGTTGGGTCATTCAAAGTGACCTGGTGACCTGACCTTAAAAGTTAGGAGGTTCAAACTTGCACACCATGTGTAAAATTGATGAGGGAAAAGTCATACCAAATTTCGCGGCGCTACGCGCCGCGGTTTTCCCGCTATCCGCGAAAAACCTCAGGGGGGGGCGGATATCCGCCCCCCCCGTCGGTGCGCGGGTTATGTCTACATTTGTCGTAACCTTTTATCTTATATCTCGCGTCTTTACGCGGTCTATACGGAGCATCATAACAATACATAACGCAAAATCAATCATTAGGGAAAGAAGACGGTGTTATGTAGGTAGGTAAGCACAAAACTAACCCGATCAGATGGATTACACTAAAAGATAACGACATAGGCATGCCTTTTACCAATGCTAGAGCCTAACAGCAGACGAAAAAAATTGATTCGAGCAGACCCAACGAATGTAAACGTAAAAGATAAAGCGAGCGTGAATTTGATTCCTGGCAGTGCAGATGTGAACTGTCAATTAACCTCAAAGGAGGATGTGCTCCTCAAATCAGGTGTACCAAGTTTGACGACGGTTTCACCTTCTTCGCATTTTTTAGAGAGACGGTGGAAAAGATGACGGGGTCATAACCACTCCGTACATACGTGCAATAGCAGGACATCTTTCTTCATCGCTAAAAACGGTAACGACGATCAAACACTCAGTTCTCAAAGTGCACCTCACTGTAAATTCGATAAGTCGTATTTACATACCGTGGTCACTGCATTGGCTGATTAAGCAATACCCTGCGGCCTACATTCTTCATTCCGTTCGAAATCAAACGTGGCTTATTGAGTATTATGAATTATGATAGGTAGTAGGTACTGAATTACATTTGCAAGCAATTTAGCGGATTGGACAAAATGGTGTGACATATATACGACCTATGCCAGTCCACATTGACACCTCGTCGCCGGCAGGTAGTGGCGTCTGCCCCCCCCCCCCCCACCTCCCCGCATCCCTCTCCGCACCCGCCCCTCACTCCGTGCACGCGGCAGAGTCGTTTATCAGTAAACACGCCCCCGGCGCAGGGTAGCTGACCTTGGTTGCCGAGCACGCCGGGAAAAGGTGTACCCGATATGCCACCCCACGCGGCCGGCGTCCTTCCCCTCCCCTCCCCCTCCCGCGGCTGGGCCCACTGCTGAGGACCGGTGCAGAGTGGGGGAGCTAGGGCTGTTGGTGAGCGCGCGGCGCGGACGGTGTGACACGTGCGCCGGCGGCGGTGTGGTGTGACGGTGTCTGTGACGGTGTCTGTGACGCGGACGGTGTACGGTGCATCGTGAAGGCGAGTTGCACCCCCAAAACCGGCCCCCACCCAGCTGATATAAACAGTGACGGCGCGCGAGACCCCGCAATGGCAGCAGTCAGCCCCGCCAAACGAGCCAGGAAGGAGGCCAACTCGGACGACATGAAGGAGGCTTTTCCAGGTGAGGTCGAAGGCGCTTCTTCGCTAACGTCTTGTTTCTAATTCGCTGCTTTCCACAGGCAGTTCGCTCGAAAGTCGAAACTGTCAAAAAATATTTCCCGTAGGTCGCATAATGCACGCGTTACACCACGGTCGATTTGGAGTATAAAGGACGTCTCGCTATCGAAAAATAGCGCAGACTTAGCATTAAGCGGTAAGTCATTGTTTTTTTCAAACATGAAAAATAAGTAGGCATGTTTCCTGAACATTTGCATCGAACTTTGTCATGACTCATGACCATATGCCAATGCATATCATTGCAAATTCAACGAATCGATCAGCGAAATATGATGTTCCTCGTTTCCTTTTCGTGACAATTTTAGACCTAGTTAGTAATAAATGCTTTCTTCAATCAAGGCGGCCACGACTTACGCCACGTCTAAAATGTTCAATGACGGTCCTCGCAGCTGTCTGCCGGTGCCATACCATATCAGTATTGAGCTGCTATCACGGGCAACTAAAATTAGATATTCAAGGTCTCACACTAATGTCAACACGCCACTCGAGACGGCACTCCGAGCGTATTGGTCCAGAACTGAATCCTGCAAAACTTGCCGACTCGCTGCTGCCAAACGATCGGAAATCGATCTCAGCAAGAACGGTAAGCCTCATCGGTAGCAAGATGCCCTTCGTAGCCTTTAGGTGCGCTATAATAAAGGTAGCTTATAACAACGGTGATATGAATTGTAAAACATTGAGTTACTCGCATAAGTGAGGTGGCTCGGTCGCACCTCTCTCATTATTCCTCACTTCTAGCCCGCCTTTTCCCCTGTCCGGCAGACATCTCGCCGATCGCGTACCGTCCGGACGCGCCGGCCGACGAGACGCTTGTGTTTCGTCACTACAACGCCAGCCAGCAGGTGATGGGACGCTCCATGCAGGAGTGGCTGCGCTTCTCCGTCTGCTACTGGCACTCGTTCCGTGCCACGGGCCTGGACCCGTTCGGGGGTGCCACCATCACGCGGCCCTGGGACGACGGCTCCGACACCCTGGAGAACGCCAAACGACGCATGCGCGCCGCCTTCGAGTTCTTCGCGAAGCTCGGTGAGAATTTCATGAGGACAAAGATCCCATAGTAGTCGCAGGTGTAAAATGGTTCACATAGTTCTTAGCAAAGGAAGATTGTGACGTGAATCTATCCAATTTTGTTCTGGTGACTGAAATAAAAACAACTGTGTACCTATTTTACATTAAAAGTTTCGATGGCAAAAAAACGCACAAACTGTCTCGTATGTTACAACTCTTCCTCAAATCACCAGGAAACAAGTACTGGACGTTCCACGACCGCGACATCGCTCCTGAGGGTTCCTCCTGGCAGGAGACCAATCGCAACCTGGACGAGATGGTGGAGCTGGCTGCGCAGCTGCAGAAGCAGCACAGCATCAAGCTTCTGTGGGCCACCTGCAACCTGTTCTCCCACCCCAGGTGCGGTCGCCTCCCAATCCGTGCATGCTTGGTTCGAAGGCACTAATGCACCTCAAACTTCAAGCACGCGGGCTTTGACGTTTGGACATGTTTTGTACCGAGCTTCTCAAGCTGTTTTTTTTTTTTTACAATGCCTTCATTTCTTTATGAGAAGCCAAGAGTAGGTGGCTGGTGAAAGCTATCCGACCTCTATCCACCTGACGCTCAACACGCTGCCCCTCAGGTATATGAACGGCGCCGCCTCCAACCCGGACGCCCACGTGTTCGCCTGTGCCGGTGCCGCCGTGCGCAAAGGACTCGAGGTGGCCCACAAGCTGGGCGCCGAGAACTTCGTCTTCTGGGGCGGCCGCGAGGGCTTCCAGACCCTTCTCAACACAGACCTCAACAAGGAGATGCAGCACATGGCCAACTTCTTCCGCATGGTTGTTGGTGAGGATCCTAGGAGAGGGATAGAACAATGATAGACTGTCACGTTTGGCTTTTGATTTGATGATCTCATTTTTGTAAATCGTTCTTCAAATGAGTGGATCATCATTATACCCCGATGCCATTAGCAGCTGAGCCCAGAGCACCTGAGTCGCTAAACATTCTAGAATATTTCCAAGTTTCTACGCGGTCTGACCCGAGTCTTCGTCTTCAGCCTACAAGGAGAAGATCGGCTTCAAGGGTCAGCTGCTCATTGAGCCCAAGCCAAAGGAGCCAACGCGTCACCAATACGACTACGACGCTATGACCGTCATCGCCTTCCTTAAGACCCACCAGCTGGACAAGCACTTCAAGCTCAACATCGAGCCCAACCATACGATGCTGGCAGGACACAGCTACGAGCATGACGTCGTCATGGCCTCCGCGTGAGTGACACGAGAGAAGAGAGAGAGAGAGAGAGAGAGAGAGAGAGAGAGAGAGAGAGAGAGAGAGAGAGAGAGAGAGAGAGAGAGAGAGAGAGAGAGAGAGAGAGGGAGGGAGGGAGGGGGAGGGAGAAGGGAGAGAGAGGGATGGAGGACTAGAAGAGCAAGCTATGACTTCGTTGTTGTTGAAATTTTACTCGACGACATAATCTCCTCGAGTCCCAAATATGCATAGCGAAAACTGCTTTATTTTTCAATCAACTCACCTAGGAGATTCTGTGCACTCCGTTCTCTACTCCTTGCCCGATATAGCAGCCATTCGTGAGGCGTATGTTTCCATCGGGGTGCATGTTCCACTGCTGACAGGATGCGGATGCTCGGTTCGATCGACGCCAACACGGGTTCCCCGGACCTCGGCTGGGACACGGATCAGTTCCCCATGGATGTCAAGGCGGCTACCATGGTGATGAAGACCGTTATCGAACAGGTATGTCCCCCTGGTGAATTCAAAAAGGGGTGAAGGCAAGAGAAAGAAAAAAAGTAATAAGAGCAATAGGTACTAATTTCGCCAATGCTGCCTCAATTTACCAACGTCAAAAATACCAATGTTGGCTCAATTCTAAGTGATCGTACTTCTTCGAAGATATACGCTTGGTAGTAAGCATCGTTGGCGGATCTTTTGTGACCCACAGGGCGGCCTTCAGCCGGGCGGACTGAACTTTGACGCCAAGGTGCGGCGCGAGTCGACCGACCCCCGCGACCTGTTCATCGGTCACGTGGGAGCCATGGACACGATGGCGCGCGGTCTGAAGGCGGCCGCCCGGCTCATCCAGGAGGGCACCCTGGCCAGGGCGGTGCAGCAGCGCTACAGCTCCTACAAGTCCGGACTGGGGCACAAGGTGGGCAGGAAAGGGCTGGTGGACGGGGGAGAGCTGGCAGATGGGGATGGATCAGTGGACGGGCTGAACAAACGATGCTGAAAGATGCTCTGTGGTGGCGACATTCGACGTTGTCATGTTTTCATTCATTGCAGACACTGGGAAACCGTTTATTTTTCTTTAAAATTTTACATTTTATAGGTACCTTATGTGTGTAGCTGCATTGGAGCCAGAAATGTGTTTGTGCCTTTTAATAAAAGTAACGTTTTGTCCATGTATTTTGCACCTTGCTATTGAATTCCGCACATTGCTATTGAAATAGAATCCTATCTACATATCATGCCCCATGCACCCAGGAAATTGCAATAAGATTTTTCGTTTCTAGCCTTGACAACTCATTTACAAGCCGTTCTCTTCCCGAACGATTCACAGGAATTCATATCTATCACTATACGGCGACACCGGAAATAGCACAAGTGCGCCACTAACCGCCATCCTATTGGCAGTGGGCCGTCTGACCCTATTGTCATGATCAAGTGGCCATTTCCTCATTTCGTGTGTCGATTGTGTGCATCCTCAGATCTCGAACGGCACCGCGACTCTGGAAGACTGCGAGGCGTACGTTCTCAAACATGGCAATCCTTCCGCCACCTCTGGACAACAAGAGCACTACGAGACCATCTTCAACCACTACGTCCACGACCTCAAGTGAACGTGACGGCCTTCTGATCTTACTGCGGGCTGGCTTGGGGAAGTCTTCGAGTTTGTGTTCTAGTGATGACACACTGGCGTTTGTAAAATTGTGCACATGTTCAATAAAAGCAACTGAAATGGACTATAGTGCTTGTCCAATATTCGTGTTATATTTGATGCCAAACAGTCGCCGTAGTGTATTACTCGGCAGTCGGCCTCGGCACCATTTCCGAACAGTCTGAAAAAATCGAATATGCTTCCTTACCCCCAGCGCGATCCTCGAGGAAAAATTCAACGAATCCCGAGGAGCGTTTTTTTTTTTTTTTTTACTGACTATAGCTTTTCCCTTATCACGCATATTGCATAGTCGATCTACAACATTAAAGCATTACTGTTACCTATACATACAATGCTTCATTTTATTCATTGAACGCGATTTTCATGAAAATATGTACCAGCGATTATATTATATCTATATTTTTCTTCCATATCATCTGAATTTTCCGCTGTTCAAATATACATGGAGTATAACAACGTCCTTAGAAATGCCTTTTCATGCCATATGTGCCCTTATGACCAGCGTCCAGCCAAGCCGGCAAATCAGCTATCATCAATTTCCGCGCCTTTTCTGGTTGCGGATTTCCCGCCACTGCACCGCAGTGGCGAATATAGGTCGTAAAACTAGTTTTACTTTTAGCATAAAAAGACTAATCAATGTGCCCAAATAAAAAGCCATCCGTTTGTTTTCAATTTACATTGCTTCGGGAACTAAAAAAAGGATCATAGTCTAGAATTATTTGAAATTGAGCAGCTAAGGAAAAAAAAACATAGCTATGCATATTATTACGTCGTGCAGCAAATACTAACTTTCCACCCTCCCACGCTTTCAATGCTCCTTGATTTACGTGCTAACAGGCTGTACCGTCATTCCCTCATCCCATCACCCAAGTGGAGCTGTTGCGGAGAGAGGGGCGAAATCGGAGGCGCACAGTGGCATGTGCGGCGCCCGGCCGCTCTGCGCGAGCTGCCATGCTGTCAGGTGTGTGCCGTGGTATGCATTGCGTACCGAGGAGCCCTGCGACCGGTGACCGGCGCCGCTCCATCACCTGTCCCGTCGACTCTCTCGAGTGACGGTACGCGTACCGTCACCGACGGCAGACCGTCGACGGGCGTCGACCGGCGGGGCGGCTGCCAAATTCCCCAGCTGGGGGGGGGGGGGGGGGTCGTCGTGTCGCCGTCGCCACTGCGCTCAGCTGAGGGCTGCAGTGGCAGGATCGAGCGACCGGGCGCGCTGCTCTGAGGGCGGGTCCGTCCGACGAAAACCGTCACTGGGGTGGAACGGGACAGTTCTTGTCGATGTGGCTGCTCGGGTGTGAATGTCAGTGACAACACTGAAACCATTGAGAGTTGTCAGACCAACAGACGACCCGCTGGATTACCACGAAAGGTTAGTGGAAGTTGTGAGTCGGTCGACTTTTCGGCTTATGTATCCAGCATTATAATACTCTAGATACGATTATGTGTTACAATATGTTCATTTTATAAAAGCGATTTGCATGCAATCCTATTACAAGCTTCGCTGCATCCCTGAAGCTGGTAAAAAGTTTGTTTTGCGCCAGCAAATCTTACTTATTGATTGTACGTATGTACATCTTTTAAAATTTGTAATTTGAACATTCATAGGAGAACAAAGTCAGATACCTATACAATTATCTTACAGTCCTATATTCTACCTTGGTATCCCTTGTGGTATTTTTGCTTCCACCCCAATACGTCCAGCTGAATTCCTGGCTGCGCCCCACCCACCATTTCGTAGCGGCCCGCTGCCCATGCGATGTATAATCAATGCCAGCGCTGCTCCTGCCCTCCAGATATTGACCACACGTTACACCGAGCACGTCATGATGTTTCACGCCTTTAAAGGCCGAATTGTTGTAACGGTTGTAACATATCGCTCTTCTCCCATACCTTACAGCGAGACGAGTCAAGTCAGGTAAAACAAATGTTTTCTGGTTTGGAACAAGAACTCGGTCGTAAACAACGTAAACGGAAACCGCGTAAACAAGTTTTCTTTCATGGCATGGCTCCCCAAACGGTCCGCTCTCGTTCTGTAGTTTCATGAAATTCCGGTCCACCAGAAACGCAGTGGTTTCACGCACATGCATCTCTGGGAAATTGGAGAAACGTGAGCAGCATTGTCTTTTGTCACCGAATGCTTGTGCTCTAGCTATGCATGCCATTCCTTCGTTCGCTTGTCTGTTCCGACTTTATCGATAGGCATCGCGCTATTTGTAAATGCATTCCAAAAGACTCTAAAACGTGTGAATGAATAGACGTGCTTTCGCCGCTACATGTTAACAAGGGAGAGGCATGTGAGATGCATCATTGACCGTATTATGGATGACTAGATGAAGGCGTTCATGAATGGGAAATAAGCGTCCGTAGAATTGATCGTTGCTTGCGCAAGTTCGTAGGATGGTGCGTTTGCGTTTCAAATTAGTGGGTATGACCTATGCCTTAGCCGTAATTTCTTGCCCATGTGCGTTCTTTTCGGAGAGTGAGGACACGTCTTATGCGAAAGCTGTTTTCAAATACTAGTGCTATCTACATAGTTACGTAATACTGAGCCAAACGTGTCGATTTCCTTGGAATCCTCTAGGTCATTCCACGATGTGCATTGGAATACAGTGTTGTATAGTCACTGGTAGATCCGGGGGAGGCATTTGGGGCAAATACCCCTCCCCCATACAGCCCCCGAAATCGACGAAAACTTGCGGTTTTCCGAGAATAAAACAAAAAGTGATGAACTGTTATGCGAAAGTTTGTTTTAAACTGCACAACAGTGCGTAAGGAATCGAAATCCGATGAGTTTTGGAATATGAAAAAAATGGGGTATGCCCCCCCCCCCCACACACACACAAACACACAGCGTCCAAGACCGCCTGTTTGGATCTGCCAGTGCGTATGGTATGGGGATGAGCTGGGATAGTGGTTGAACCTTTCTGAATCTGTTGCATTACAATGATATTTATGGTTAATAACACATTTTTAGAGCCCAGTTACATTGAGCTCTGTACGACCATGCACCATGCACCAGCCATGTAATACATGTCAGGTAGCGTATAGGTATATTTTTTGTTTTCTCAAGTCTTGCACACCAAATAGATACAAACCGAATTCGTTACGTCTTTGAATAAAAAAGGCATGTTAGTTGATACCTGTTGCCAATTGAGTAACACGTAATGCAGTTCAAATGATCGCAGTCACAACTCTGACCCCACTGTGCCGTGACACTGTATCCTGCGGAGGACGATAGCAAGAATACGAGCGGAAATTATCACAATCGCATGCGGATATCCTTTGAGGTCTAAGGAAGTCGGCCATATGCCCTGCACTGATAAGCATACTTAAAGTCGTCCTCAGTGCATTTTCACCATAACATTTTTGATATAGTGGGCGCTCTGACTTCTGCATGTTAGCACAGCCAATTTTATAGCTAGACGAAACACTACAGCCAGCCAGCCTCCGATCGTTCGAATCAATACCACGGCAGCTGGACTACGGTATCGCGGTCAGCAGCTGGTGGTATGATTTCGGGCTCCATGTCAGAGACGGTAGTCCACTGACAGCGCCCGTTCGGAGTCCAGTCATCTGCAATGACCGGTGGCGTGGCCCGGCTCCCCACCCGGCCGTAATTGTTTGCCCGTGTAACGGACTGCGGCCGGTGCAGGGCAGTCGGTCCGACGTGCCGCTCCATCGGGCGAGGTTGGTGACCCTGCAGGTCGAGTGGCCGCCGAGGCAGAGTGGTCAGTAGGGTCCGGTGGAGGATGGAGGGAGATGAATGGAGGGCTGCAGCCTGCAAGAACGCAGTGAGGAGTGGAGAGAGAGAGAGAGAGAGAGAGAGAGAGAGAGAGAGAGAGAGAGAGAGAGAGAGAGAGAGAGAGAGAGAGAGAGAGAGAGAGAGAGAGAGAGAGAGAGAGAGGGAGAAAGAGAAAAAAAAATATTGAAAGAAAGGTGAGACTGTTTTGCGGGAGAGAAAGACTTGGTGATTGTAAAATCAGGGGAAAGAGATAGAGAGGAAAAGTGAGAGAGCGTAATGGAAGAGAGAGGTAGAGGACCGGAGGGAGATAAGGGCAGAGGGAGAGAGCCGACCGTCATATCTCCGCCCGGCGGGCCGCGCGATGGAGTGGGCCGGTCACGGCTTCATGAGAGAGGCTCAGTGCTGATCGCGCCGCGGTGCCGATCGGAGGGCGCCAAGAGGCTCCCTCTCCATCGCTCTGCCTTTCACTCACTCACTCCAACTCAGTCTGCGGGTGAAAGTGCATCGGAGAGCCAAGCAGGGCGCTTGGTGTCAGGTGAGCACTCCCTCTAGACATCATTGCGGGCTTACTGTAGGTCAGGACGTGATTTGGTCGGTCTTTATATCACCAGAACCGTAGGACCGATTTTAATCGGTAAACGGCATTACAATTCTGGGAAAACTCGTCTTAGACGGATGACCATTGACCACTATAATATTGCTTTTCGTTTGAAGTGGGAGGAGCTTATTATAACAATTCTATAACAATATTAGCCTTTTAGATATTTCAGCATAGGTACTTTTCAATCGAATCTTATCGAATAGGCATATTAAAGTGAAAGAGCCTAATGTGTAAGTCAATGACCTGTCTGTGTCAAAAAATGAAAATTTCAAGGAAAACACAAGAAACCTGCGACAAATCTGGCGTTTATGGTCTAAAAACATTGCCTTCAAAGATCGGTACATAACGGTTAACTCACATGAATATATAATGCATTTACAATACTTTTGGGAAAAATGCAAAGAAAAACTTGAAATTGAAATACCATTGTCATGGAGTATGGCACAGCTCAAGTATCTTTTACCGAACATGGCATATCGGAGGACTGCCAAACAGGTTTGTTGTTACGCTCTTAATTTCAATCACCCCATGTTAGGCTGAGTCGCAGGTGTTCATTTTATTTCTCAAAGTCATGCGGAATACTTGCGATGGCTGATGCGAATGAAGCACCCTCAGTAACTCATTTTTTGCCCGGTTAAATGCTTCTCTAAAGATGCGCTGTTTATGTATAGTGTCTAACTTTGACCTAACTATAATGACCGTCTAACTATAACCTTAGTGTTAGAGTATATAACACGACCCTTTCTCCCACCTGTTTCAGCTGACTACGGCGGATTCAGGCACCCACATTTCTCCATGGGTGACAAACAACTTACCATCGTACACTTCAACGATGTGTACAATGTCGAGTCATCGAATCAGGAACCGGTGAGCGATAAAAGCCGTTTTCACGACGGGCTATGTGGCGAATGCACCTAATTTGACCAAATCCGCACTTAATCTCTCTTACAGTAAATATCATCTTCATATCGTGAATTTATTACACTGTTTTAACCCTATTCCTGGCGGGGGGGGGGGGCCTCAGGAGCCCCCCCCCCTGAGGTTTTTTGGTTATTTCTCCCAAACGCGTTGAGCTAGGAAGCTCAAATTTTCTGACTTTTCCTAAAAGGCTTCTACGCAACATGTCTGAAAATTTTGAGTTGATCTGACCTCAGGTCAGGTCACCAGAGGCGGTTTGGTGACCCTACCTCAGAAAAGTTTGCAATCACGCCAGAGCTAGAGTTTTTGACCGATCAATTTCTTCTCTTCAGGCTTTAGTTAGGGTACCAGTATGTGCAATTTGTATATCTCGGAATTTTGATATCGGTGACCTAAGGTTAGGTCAGTTTCGCGACCTCCCCATTATAAGTCAATGGGGGAAAAATCAACTCCCTGTTTTTACCACTAAAACGGGTCGGAATGGCCCCATATACCATACATGACTTCATATACGATCAACCTTCACTACCTTGAGGTCTGTTTTGCTGTTGGGCAGCTGTGAGGTCATGTGACGTCATCAAAGGTCACCCAAGGTTTTTGGCCAATAACTCCGTACAGGAACAAGATACAGACGCGTGGATGGTCTCATTGTGTTCAACTCGTCAAGACGCATCGAATGATATACATGATGACCTCGAGGTCACGTGACCTGAGGTCAACCTTTGACCTTGACCTTTCGAGGTCAACATATACAGGGTGGCGCCGGTAAATAACCACAAATTTCAAACCTGTGTTACGAGGAAACTATTTAGTGCAAAGCAATAATTTTTTTGCATTCATGTGCCATGCTTTATGTAAATTGTTGTCCATAGCAAAAGGGAACGTTGCAGCTGAAGATGATAGCGGAAGAAATGAAAAGGCACGCGGTCATTGTGGCGCTTCACGCCGGCAGCGAGGCACCCCAGGTCGCCAACTTCCTCAGGGTCTACAGAAGCCATGATTATAAAGTCGAGCGGATCTTGGATGAGTCTGTGGGCGACGTTCCGTCTGTGGCAAAGCGGAAGAAACATCCCCGACGATCTGATGCCGTCAGAGACGACGATTTCATTGCAAAAGCCGAGAACATCGTCGACGACGACCCGACGTCGACGTCACCGTCGATGACGGTGACGTCGTGAAGCCCTGGATCTACCGAGTGGCTGAGGAAGGCCCTATGTGTTCCAACAAGACTCTGCACCCGCCCTCAGGCCAGGGTGACGCAGGAGTGGATGAGCGCCAACCTGCACAGCCACATCACGCCCGAGCTCTGGCCGCCAAACTCCCCGGACCTGAACCCGCTCGACTATTACGTGTGGGGCGTAGTCGAGAGGGCCACTAACAAACACCCACACAACAATATTGACTCTATGAAGTCAGCCATCAAGCAGATGATGGTCAAGATGGACAAGACCATGCTGACCAAGACCTGCGCCCGGTTCAGGCCGCGCATCGAGGCCGTCATCGACGCGGAGAGGGATTCATCGAGTGAAGTCTGCTCGACAGGTCGCCATCAGTCACCCCAGTTCCAAGCTCCCACCCAATGTACTGACTTTTGTCAAAAAATTAATGTTTTGTGTGGAGCACATATTGTCTTCATTTATCGGCGCCACCCTGTATATCATTCGATGCGGATTGACGAGAGGATCACGATGATGCCCTTAGTTTGTTCCTATCTTGACTAATTCGAAAGTTATTCGAGAAAAACTCTCTCCACATCTAGCGCCGCCATTTTGACTTTTTTGACCCCTGTGACGTCATCTTTGACCTGACCTGAAAATGACCTTTGTAAAAATTGTAGACCTTGTCCATGCGTATCCGATGCCGTTTACCGCTTGTCGCTATCTTGCTTCGTTCTCGAGATCTCAGGGGGGGGGCCGAATCGGCCCCCCCGCCAGTTTCTTGTCCCGGCGGAGCCCGCCAGGAATAGGGTTAAGCGCCGTCGTGAAAACGGCTAATATATTTTTTTTCTCGATATTCCAAAGCTTGCCCGTGTAGCGCGCGTTGTTGCCGGGCCAGGTCAGCTTCCCCGTCCTCAGTTTCCCATGACATATATCTAAAAATGCGCCACGAAGCACCGGCCTTTTGTCTTACATTTATTTTCGCTCACTAAATTTGACTAAAATTAAGCAAGATTCGGTCATTTCAGAAAGGGTTACATGGGCACGCTTAGTGCAAGCATATACAAAGTGAGGCACCTTGGTATGCGTATATCTAAAATGCGAAGCCATTCAAGCCAAATGCTCGCTTGTTTGTAAGCTCTTTCATTTCCAGTACAACCTTTGTGATTTGATTACAGCATCAGAATAGCATCCTTCCAAATGCTGATAAATAAGTCATTTTATGTCAAATGTAACCAATATTTGCCGTAGGTTGGCGGTGCCGCCCGGTTTGTGACAGCTGTAGAAAAGTTCCGACATCTGAACCCGATGGTCGTCTTCAGTGGGGATATATTTAGCCCCAGTCTCCGTAAGTATTTGCACTTTATATCAGCGCCGCTGTGGTGAGGACGGTAGAACGTACATTTTGTGTTCGACGGCTTTTATTTTTTCATTTATGTTTCATTATATTTACGATAAGATAATGGTTGCACCTTTCATACCGTGGGGCGAGATGACATGGCATGCACTGCGCACTGCGACCACAATTGCACCGGTTTGTTTTATGACAACGTACGCCGATTTGTTTCAGTGAGCACGTTTGCTCGGGGCGACCATATGATCCCTGTGCTAAACCGCCTGGAAGTGCATGTTGCAGTGTATGGAAATCATGACTTCGGTAAGCAATGCTCTTCCTAATGAATTAGCCGATCTGCTGCATTTTCTCTAACCGTCATTTTAGACGGGACCAGAATCCTTCAATCGCCTGGTGCAAAAAAGGCCTCAGCGAATTCGTTCCTTTATTCTTATCCAACATTATGAATGATAAATCATAAATGGGCGGCCGTATGTCTCTAGGACTTCTCTTCACATGGTCTTACCTATGTAAGTGACTGTCCCAGGTGTTAAGACTAATGTATAGGATTATAATTTCAACTGAACGTGTATTTGACGGCCAGTTTTTAGGAGTTTGGCTCGGTCTGTTTGTACCGTTTTGACTCATATTTGACGGCCGTGTTTCAGATTTCGGTCTGGACTCGTGCATGGCTCTGACGGCGGAGACGTCGTTTCCCTGGCTGCTCTCCAACGTTCGGAACATGGAGACGCAGCGGCCCCTGGCTGAGGGACGCATCACCTACGTCACGCGCTGGAACGGCATCAAACTCGGCTTCGTGAGTCCGTCGGTGCAGTCTGGGGAACGTTAATTTATGATATGCCTGCGTTCAGAAAGATTAGGTCGTTGCCTTCCTGGTGATTCTGGTAAGCTTATATCCTTTTACTGGATGAATAAAAAATAATAATAAGAAGAAGAATAAGGGCCAAATGTTGTTTAAGCACCTATAGATTTCTGGGTTATAATATTCTAACTTTATATTTCTACGGCTCTGATAACACCATTAAAACATGCATCAGATGCCTTAATTTCTTATAATGGAGTGCACCTTATTATGTGAATGGAGGAGAAGACTCTCGACGTTGATGTTTGCCTCTTTCTCCTTCATTTCTAGATGGGTCTGGTGGAATACGAATGGCTGGAGACCCTGTCTACCATCAATCCTGACGAAGTACAATACATAGACTATGTGGAGATGGGCAACAAGCTGGCTGCGAAACTACGGAGCGAGGTAAATACTTATTCTTACGATATTTGAAATCTGATTTTCTGAACGGGTGCTTAATCATTACTCGACACGTTACCAACAAAACAACCGGTAGGCTCCTTAACAGGTAGGTCAATTTGATGTGATTATTTCATTTGATGACTCGACTCGATGTTTATTTGCTGAAGTGAAAAACCCGCATATATGTCATCAGAATTTGTTTCTTTGCCGCGCCATGGTAAAACCCCTCTGCATTTGTTGTTTCTTTTCATGATAACTCGCAGACCCATTGTGCGCAACGGGCGCTATTTGTGGATTTGCTGTCATGACAGGACACACTCAACAGACCGTGGCATTTCAATTCGAACTACTGATTGCTTATACATAAGTAAAAGCAGGCCATATGGGCACCGCATGTTCAGCTCTCAGTAGCATATATCTACTGCGCTAATTCCTATCAGCCGTATTTGATTTCCTTCTACCATGATAAGAATAAGAGCCAGAGAGTCCTCTCATGTCGAGTAACCCGATATGACTACGGAGGCACGGTACTTGAAAATCTTCTATCATATCTTCTAACATCACCTATCATAATGTTTGACATCGCGCCGATGAATTATCGTCCATCCGACTTTGAAGTGTTTCCGATGACTATTCCCAGATACCTACAATAGGTGGTCATCACAATTACAAGGCCTATACCAGATGGATAATGTGCCGATGTAGTGGCTTAGAAAATCTAACATCCTGACAAAATCGACAATTCTACAATTCTGATGTTTCTTATAGTTGTGCTCCAGATTGACACATAGTGGGGTCACATGAGAACTGCAAACCGTTCATACCCAATATTTGAGCGTGGCTGATGTGCCAGCTCAGTTTGTGTGAGACTGAGTGGCTGATGTGCCGGCCCGCAGGGCTGTGAGCTGGTGATCGCTCTAACTCATATGCGGACCTTCAACGACCTGCGGCTGCTGAGAGAGTCAGAAGGCATCGACCTTATACTGGGCGGCCACGATCACGACTACGAAATTCATACGGTGAGTGATGCGCCATGAGCAAAATAGGGAAATTTTAGACTGTTTCCTTTCTAACATCTTAAACGTTTTCGCACAATTCTTGTCTTCTGTATGTCTGATGATGATTATGATTTTTTTTTGCTGTCAGTTTGTTTCTAACCTTGTCATGATCTCTGAGATTTTATTTTTGTAAAATGTGAATTGCTTATGTCGAATTTAAATAACATCGTTTGGCTAAATTTCTCTCGTAACCGACAGGCGCCCGACTCGAAGTGCGCTCTGATCAAGTCGGGTACCGATTTTCGGGAGTTCTCTGTACTGGAGCTGACTCACCTGCCGGGAGGCGGGTGGACCCACACCGTTCAGCGGATAGAGGTCACCGCCCAGTACGAGGAAGACGCCAAACTCAAAGAGGATCTGCAGCCCTTCATCGGTAATTATCCACGTGGGGCTTACTTGCTAATACAATTTATCTGTGTAAAAGCGCTTCTAGTAGTGTTTTTTTTTCAAGCGAATGGTGTTAACCTATTAACCCGCGCCCTGCTGGGGGGGGGGGGTGTTTGAACACCTCCCCTTGTGGTTTTTCGCGAATATCTCAAAAACGGCGGCGCGGAGCGCCGCCGTTTTTGGTACACCTTATCATACATCAATTCTACACATGTTGTGAAAATTTCAGACGAAGGTCATTCAAGGTCAGGTCACCAGGTCACTCGAAGTGACCTCACCTCATAAAAAGTTTCAATGCCTGTCATAGCTACACCGAGTGACCGATCGCTTTGAAACTTTCAGCGATTGCTAAGAGCAATAGCATGTACAAAATGTATATCTCAGAATTTCGATATCGATGACCTAAGGTCAGGTCAATTTTGCGACCTCACCATTATAAGTCAATGGGAGAAAATTGAAATGCGCCTTTTTTGGACGAAAGACATTATAAACACTCCCAAACACTGAATTACAAGTGGTTTAGACACACTGAACATGAAAATGGTGTCTGTGACCCCTGTTTATGCCCTGAGGTCATCTTAGGTCACGAATGGTATCTAACAGTTTTTCGAGAATAACTTTTGATAGAGGCATGCTAGAGCGATGGAAACGCCTTAGATGTGTTCAGCTCGACGATACGGATCGACTGATACAGTGGCGTATCCAGGGGGGAGGCCAAGGGGCCATGGCCTCCCCCTTTGGCATCAAGCATGCAAGTGGGCCCTTTGGATCACTTGAGTGCAGTGACGTACCCAAGGCGGGCCACGGGGGTCCCGAGGGGCCCCTGGTCACCTGAGGGGCCCCTGGTTATCTGGGGGACCCTTGGCTACCTAAGGGGTCCCTGGTTATCTGACAGGCCCCTGGTTATCTGAGGGGCCCCTGGTTATCTGAGGTGGCCCCTGGTTATCTGAAGGAGACCTGGTTACCTGAGGGGCCCTACGGGTCCTGATTACCTGAGGGGCCCTGGCTATCTGAGGGGCCCCTGGTTACCTAAGGGGCCCCTGGTTATCTGAGGGGCCCCTGATTACCTAAGGGGTCCGTGATTGCCTGAGACCCCCTGGTTATCTGAGGGGCCCCTGGTTACCTGAGGGGCCCCTGGTTATCTACGGGACCCCAGCTACCTGAGGGGCCTCTGATCTCTTGGGTGGCCCCTGGCCAGTGTCCTGAAGAAACCCTGGTCACCTTAGGGGCCCATGTTTACCCGGGGATTACCTGGTTATATGAAGGGCCCCTGCAGTCACATGAAGGCATTTAGTTACCCTTGGAGCCCCTGGAATAACCGGCCCCCGGTTATCAGAGGGTCCCCTAGTCACCTGGTGGGCCCCTGGTCAATTGAAAGGCCCCTGGTCACCTGAGAGGCCCCTGATCACTTGGTTTCAACGGCATAGCCAGGGGCGAGGGGCACGTGTCCGTTATAAGGTTTAGGGTCCCCTCGGGCCCGAGGGACCCTGCGGTACCAATTGGCAGCAGAGGGTTCGCGCTGGCCACGCTTCAACTGGAAAGGACACCACAGGGCTTGTGAGAACACCCCATGGGCTCTAGTGTAGTCACACTTTCTCCAGAAAGGCCCCACGCCGGGTTCATACCCAGTAAACATGCCGGCGTCGGCCCGACGTCGGACCGAGGCTCGGCCCGACGTCGGCCCAACGTCGGTTCAACCTCGGCCCGACATCGGCTGGACGTCGGATATGCCCGCATGTTCCGACGTCCAGCCGAAGTCCAGCCGACGTCGAGCCGACGTCGGGCCGAGGTCGTTTGCCGAGGTTGACGAGATCGTTCGTCGTTGGACCGACGGGGTCGACGTCGGCATGTTTATTGGGACAACGCGCCAAAAATATCAACCGGCGGTGGGATTCGAGCCACCCAGTCGCCGACGTCGGCATGTTTACTGGGACAACACGCCAAAAGCATCAGCCGGCTGTGGGATACGAACCCCGTGTCATTTGAACGCGAGGTTTGTGCGCTAACCACTACACCACGCAGCCGGATAGCTAATCTAGTTTGTTTTGTTGGGTTATGCCCTTTCGGTCTGACAAGACCATTTCAGAGCCGGAAGGATGATAGGATGGAGACATTGGTCTTCTTGGCGAGCACCCTGGGTCCAGTTCATATAGAGTCTCTGGTCCCATTGCTGTTACGTGACACTTATTGGAAAGGGCGACCCCACAATGGATTCATATAGCCACTCTTACACACCTGCACCGACGTTTCCCAAAGTGTCCCTTTGATACGTGGCACTTTGGCAAAGTGACACTTGCCGACTGGCCTTTCTATATGAACTGGGCCCGGCCCTGGTGAGTTGCCGGGGCTGAGCCTGACCAAAGGATAGGCCGAGCAGCCCCCAAGCACTCACCGCACCCGGCTACGGGCGAGCTCGGCTTACGGGCAATCCCAAATGGGATAAAATTTTCCGTCCAGTTCGGATCAGGGGGGTTGCGGCGTAGAGGAAGATTTGAGTTTCCTGAGGATATTTTGAATACAGAAGCTCTTTATGAAACATGAAACATGTATTTTATATTTTCAACGGTCAAAACAGCGGCCGATGTCGGTCCGACGTCGCCCCGACGTCGGCCCGACGTCGGCTGGACCTCAGCAATTGATCTCGGTCTGACGTCGGCCCGACGTCGGCTGGACCTCGGCTGGACGTCGGTACATGCGGGCATATCCGACATCCAGCCGACGTCGTGCCGAGGTTGGACCGACGTCGGGCCGACGTCGGCATGCGATGCCGAGTTGCCGACGTCACCCCGACGTCGGCCGACGTCGGGCCGACGTCGGCATGTTTACTGGGGAGGGACCTTGCCGGCCTCTGAGGGACCTTGCCGGCCTCTGAGGGACCTTGTCGGCCTCTGAGGGCCGTTGCCGGCCAATGAGGGATCAGCTGTAAGGGCCTCATACTCGTTTGATATGGCCTCACGGTCCACACCAGTGTTTCTGATGGCCTTCACTGCCACCTCTAAGGGCCCCACACCAGTGCCTCTTAAGGGCTTACTTCGGTGGCTCTGAGAGCCCCCACACCGGCGCCTCCGAGGGCCCTAGGCCAGCGCATCTGACGACCACTTACCAGTGACTCCGAGGGCCTCTTACCGGCCTGTGAGGGTCCCTTGCCGGCCTATGAAGGGCCACCAGTAACTTTCAGGGTCAAACTGCGTCAAACTATCTTAAAATGCCATTTGATGGCCCTCATAGGCCAGCGTAGGGCCCTTAGAGGCCAAGGCTGAGCCCCCAGAGACTAGCGTGGAGCCCTCAGAGGTCGCTTTGGCGGCCATAAAGAAGCTTAGACTTGAGCGTGGGACCCTTTGACGCTGGCGTAGAGCCCTAAGGAGCCAGCGCTCAGCCCTCTATGGCCAGCGTGGGACCCTCTAAGGCCATTGTGGGGCCTTCTAAGGCCAGTGTGGGACGCTCTATGTCCAGCATGGGGCCGTCTATGTCCAGCGTTGGGTCTTTTAAGCCCAGAGACATGGGACCTTCTTTGGTCAGATTGAGGTCCATTGGCCACGGAGACCAGCTTGGGGCCCTCTGAAGACAATGTGGAGCCCTTTTAGGCAAGTGTGGGGCCCTCTGTGACCAGCGTGAACCCTCTGAGGCCAGCGTGGGGCCATCTGTCATTTGACTCCAGACTTCAGAAGCTGGTGCTTGGCCAGTCAGAAGCCAGCGCGGGCCTTCATAGGCTGGCGTCGGGCCATTAGAGACCACCTCGAGAGCCTCGGCAGCCACTCTTCAGACCTTATGCTTGTTTGGGCCCCCTGAGACCCTAAGGTAGGAGTGGCCCTTAAAGGCATGCGTGGGACCCTCAGGGGGCATCATGGGCTTCTAGAGACCGGCGTGGGTTCGAGAGCGGCATAGGGATATCAGAGACTGACTCAAAGGCTCTCAAGAGCCAGCGGGGGGCCCTGTGAGGTTAGCCATAGCATGGGTCTCCTGAGGCCATTATGGGGCCCGGAGGCCAGCGTGGTTCACCCTGTTGCCGGTGTGGGGCTTTCAGAGGCCAGAATGAGCCTTCAGAGGTCGGAGTGAGGCCAATGTGGGCGACATAGAGCCATCAGAGTCTAGATCAGAGCTCAACCCGAGTCGGGCCCTTCTAAAGTTTAGGGTATCAGCCCTCGACCAGAGCAAGACACTAAGAGACTGGCATATGCCCTTTGAAAAATGTTACAATCTTTAAAAAAAAAAATGGCAAAAACATTTTGCTTTTGATGATCTTTAGTGACCCTAGCCGCTAGGGTCACTAAAGATCAGTAGGCATATAGTTTTTTTTTTTTTGCTTTGGTCGTCACTCGTCGCTAGGGCCTAGCGACGACCAAAGCAAAAAATAAAACTTTATGCCTACTGCTGAAAGAAATTGTACGCTACAGAGCTATCGATATCGATGCCTTTTTCACGTTTCAACATTCTTTTTTAGATTGCCGAGTGTGCCTAAAAAGGCTCCCTCACATGGCGAAAGTGGCAAAGAACCGCACCTGGGTGTGAGTTAAGTACGCTACTACTGGGGCCCCTAAGGTAAGGGTGGGGCCCCTCGAGCAGGTTTGGCCTCCCCCTTTCCAAGATCCTGGATACGCCACTGGACTGATATGCAACATGACCCTTTCCGGTCAGGTCATGACCTTGACCTGAGGTCAAATTTTCAAGTTGACCTTTCAAGGTCAAGTTATAGTTCATTCGATGCGTCTTGACGAGAGGAACACGATGCCGGTAAAAGTAAGCTCGTACAATGCTTGGGTCAAAAGTTATTGCAGAAAAACTGTTTCCGAAAAAATCGGTTATTTTTGCAGTTTTTGCCCCCTGCAGGCAAAACCGTTGACGTTAGGTCAAATCTGAGAGAATTATTCAGAAAGGGCGTTAATAGGGCTATCTAATGCGCTTTTTCGCGGCGCTGTAGCTCTATTGGTTCCCGAGTTATGCGTTGGCTTCTTGGAAATTTTCGACATTCGACCTGGAAATCGGCGAAATTTTGCCTTCAATGACCTCTGGTGACCCGACCTTTGACCTGACCAAAAAATTGACCGAAGTGATTTCCTCATTATTTTTGACGCTCTTTCGAACGCCGCCTTCCGCGTATCGCTACGTGGCCCAGGAGCCGAGTTAGAAGGGGGGGGGGGTGTTCAAACACCCCCCCCCCCCCCAGCAGGGCGTGGAAATCCAGGACCCCCAGCCGGGCGCGGGTTAACGAAGTTTCGATGTATGCTGCTGCCCACGAAAAAGTTTTTGCTCTCCAGCAATTGGCATTTGAACATCCCGAACCGTTTACCTGTGTTATTTTGCAGACATGTCGGAGACGAAGCTCGAGGATGTTGTCGGCCATTTTGAAGTCGACTTGGAGGGTCGCTTCAGCAAGGTTCGCTCAGAGGAAACGAACCTGGGCAATTTCTGTGCGGACGTCATTCTCGGTAAGTAACAATCCTCCCAGAGATTCTGGCGATAAAACAAAACAAAAACATGACTATGAAGCATGTTTCTGTTAAAAGGAATGCTACCGATATGTCAAATAAAGCTGTGTTTATTTCATTTTGATTTGAAGTTACAGCTTAAAATATGGGTTTTGTGTCTATACTGCGCTGACAGCTCCCCTCTTTCTCCCAGCTGCCATGAATGCCGACTGCGTCATCCTCAACTCGGGCACCCTGCGGAGTGACCGGGTCCACCCAGCTGGTGACTTCACCATGCGAGATCTGGTCACCATAGCCCCATTCATGGATGGCCTCTGCCTGCTGCACGTCACAGGTTAGTCTGGGGAGGTCACCGGTCAGGTCAAATGTTACCCAGATTAGTCCAAAAGTCACCAAGGTCATTCCAGATTGTTGCTACTTAGCACTTAGCGAAGTTACAAGACCTCTGATATGTATATTGCATACATTTCACGTAAGATCTTGTTTTGAAGCCGTATCTCAAACCAATCAATCGTTTTCAGTCAAGGACTCGGCGTTCCGCAATCTCTGCACTACAAAATTTTCCGTGTGCCTTCAGGCGCCGTGCTGTGTGAGGCGGTGGAGAACTCTGTCTCCATGTACCCCCGGCTGGCGGGCAGGTTCCCCCAGGTGTCCGGCATGTCCTTTGTCTTTGACCCGGACAAGCCGCCCGGACAGCGGGTGGATCCCAGGTGAGACACAGCGCGCGCACACAGGTCAGAAGCAATCGGAAACGGGTGATAATACGGACGGGGAAGGAAGGATATAATAGTGGGCATTCTATCAGGAAATGCTGATTGTGTAATAAATTAACGCCAGGGGAAAATAGCGAGGCGCTCGTATGAGGTGCTCTGCCGTCACCCCAACCCTTAGAAATACGGACGAGGCCGGCAAAGACAGCGCCGATCGTAATGCACGAATGTGATGTTGTTGACCCCTACGATTTGCCTAACGGTGCACTGTCCCTCCGCTGCGCAGGCTTGTGAAGGTGGGCGACATGTTCATCCAGCCGGATCAGCTGTACAAGGTGGCCACCAAGGAGTACATGCACCAGGGCAGGGACGGGTTCACCTGCTTCGTCGACGCCAAAGTGCTGGTGGGTGGTTTTAGAAAACTTTTACCAATACTTTGAGTGCTGGCTGTCTGCTTTCGGTGATTTTGCATGTCACTCAATGTGTTGTTAATTTGTGAATATTCATCGTAGGTCATTCCAGTTAATGAGACTTAGTGTTAGACGTTAGTGTACTGTGAGTTTGTTTGAATACGTTGCATATGCAGCTACAGAGAAATAATTGTACCACTTCGAAAAGTTGTAGCAATTGTACGAACACTTTTCACCAAGCAACCTTTTATCGCAGCAAGACGAGGAGCAGAGTCCGCAGCTCCGGACAGCGATAGTGAACCATTTCGACTCGATCAATCGCCTGCGGGGATATTGCGGCCCTCAGGCAGCGCTGAGCGCCCACCGCCAGTCCATAGTCTCCATTTCACGGAGGTAGGGAGGGAATGGGAAAGGGGAGAAGAAGTGGAGGGAAGGGAAGGAGGGAAGGAGTGAGAGAGAAAGAGAGAGAGAGAGAGAGAGAGAGGGGGGGGAGGGAGAACGAGAGAGAGGGGGAAGAGGGGAGGGAGGGAGTGGAGAGTGAGGGTAGGAGGAAAAGAGGAAAGAGTGGCGAATGGGAAGGATAGCATTCTCTGTGTCATTTAGTCATGTCTTGATCAAAGCTGTCATCTTGAATTCAAATTCCGTTGTTCTTTAGCAAGCCTCCCTTTGCTGATTTTGAACTCGAATCTGCTAAGCTTTAGTCTGAACCATTCTGAGTGGCTCACTCTTGAGATTTTTTCGGCACGTTGTTCCAGGAACAGCCGTCTGCGCAGTTCGATGGAGGTCTCTGGGGTTCGTCGGCCCGAGTCAACCCTCTCCCGACGCAACAGCGTCCAGTTCAGCTCCCTGCCGCCCGGTCAGTATCAGCTGAACCACACGACCCTGGTATTTACTCATAGGCACCGGAATACAGCAACGACGTAAAGAGCGTAAAAATGTGTGCCGGCCGCCGAGTCATGCACTGGGCATGCTATATTACTCTCATATTTGATCTTAGGATTAAAGTTAACGTATTCACCTTTTCTTAGAATAATAGGAATTGCATTTGAAGAACTTAATTTGCGCATAACTTTCCTCAAATGCTACAGACGTCTAGATAAATTGCTGCTTTTGAAAGAGCTCGAATATGAACGGTCTGAATATTGTTGGGATGGGTATGAGAGAGTAGATCGGAGGCAGTTAAATAGGTACGTGTATTTGTGTGAGTTCAGAAGTGCAAGGTACCTTTATCTGGCAGAGACACCGATGCAGCGGAGGAGTTCGATCCACTCTGCCAGCGTGCTGAGCACCCACGCCATCATGGAGCGACTGTACAGCGTTAGCGATGACGATCAGGAGGTGAGAGAGAAAGAGGACATGAATGGAAATAAGGAGGAGTTACAGAGGGAGGGGTCAATGGAAAGAGAGAGAGAGAGAGAGAGAGAGAGAGAGAGAGAGAGAGAGAGAGAGAGAGAGAGAGAGAGAGAGAGAGAGAGCGAGAGAGAGAGAGAAAGAGAGAGAGAGAGAGAGAGAGAGAGAGAGAGAGAGAGAGAGAGAGAGAGAGAGAGAGAGAGAGAGAGAGAGAGAGAGAGAGAGAGAGAGAGAGAGAGAGAGAGAGGAAGGAAGGAAGAAAAAGAAAGGGATAGGGAAGGAAAGAGAAGAAGAGGGAGGACAAGAGAGTGACTGATGTGATCTCTGATGTGATCTCTGATGTGACATTGGCATGACCCCTGGCCCTGATATGACCTATTGATGTAACCCCTGATGTGACCTGGTATAACCCCTATACCAGTATAACGCCTTTTGGGGCGACTAACGGAGCGAGCGAGAGGGTGGGCCTTGCACGTGCGAACTTGCGAGGGGGTACCTCCAACTGACTTGTGCACGGCACCCTACTAACCGGTCTCTAGCGATGTGCCAAATTTGAGCACAATCGGCCCAGCCGTTCTCGAGATCTGGAGGCGGCACCCTGCACGTGCGCACGTGCAACATGGGTCCCGATCCTGACTTTTGCACGGCACCCTACTAACCGGTCCCTAACTGTGTACCAAATTTGAGCGCCATCGGTCCAGCCGTTCTCGAGATCTGGAAACGACCCCTGCACGTGCGCACGTGCAGCAGCACCCCAACTCTGGCACATGGATACGCATTGCCTAGTGGGTGCCTACCTAAATGCCAACTTTCAGCGCAATCGGCCAAGTAGTTACCGAGATATTGCAACAATTACAAAAGTGACACCTCTTCGTTTTGCACGTGGCACGTGCATAAGGGGTCACCCACATGCATCGGGAATAGTCCAATACTTGGTAGAAGGAATGAAGCTACCCTACAAAAATTACCGCGTGTAAATCGGTCAAGTGGTTGCTGAGATATAAGCCTCGCAAAAGCGTGACCACGGCCGGCCGGCCGGCCGGCCGGCCGCTCATACTCAGAAATTTCCGTTAATCTAAGGAAAGACTACGCTCGCTTCGCTCGCTCCGTAATAACCTTCCCTGAGGTTGACACCGATGTGATCTACGATCCAACCTTTGCTTTGACCTCAGTTTTGACCTCTGCTATGACCTCTGCTGTGACCTCTGTGACCTCTGCCCACGTCGTCTCCAGGACCCAGCCGAGCGGCGCCGCAGTGTGATCACGACCATAAGCGGCTCGCGATCACCAACTCTGCGCAAAACCGAACAGGATGTGGAGGAGCTGGAGTGTCAGGCGGCCAGACTGGCTCCCAAGGTCGAGGGAAGGATCATCCGGGCGTCGGAGGAGGTAGGTGGGAGAGAGAGAGAGAGAGAGAGAGAGAGAGAGAGAGAGAGAGAGAGAGAGAGAGAGAGAGAGGGAGAGAGAGAGAGGAGAGAGAAGAATGGATCAGTGTGAGGTCATCATGGGTTGGAAAAGTCGGTGAGAAGTGGCGATAGATTAGAAGTCAGTGTGGGGCTATTTGAGGTCAGTTTATGCTTGGCGGGGCCAACTGAAAGATTGAAAAAACTGGGGATGAAATTTCAGCACCTCATTTCAACTCTAAACGGGGCGCAAGTTATTGTCATCTCTGTACATACGTTTTGTTTGCCAGGTGCTGGAGAGGCTGAAGGCGGAGAGGAACCTGGCGGATATGATAATCCAACGGGATACCGACAGCGATTGAGGACGGCATGACAGTGACAGCAGATCGCTGTCACCCTCTGCATGACAGCCAAGTGGCGGGCTGCCACATGACAACGAGCGTCTTGGGGTCCATGTTCGGGTCCTCGGGTCCTGCGACTGGTAGTGAACAACGTTACGTGAGCCGTTTGGTTTTACATTGAAACTATTGCATGACAATGCCACAACTGCCAATAAGTGAACGGCATGTAACTATCAGAAAACTAGGCGATTGAGATGAGTGTTCGGTTGGGGTCATTTTGGCATGTACTCGCGTGGTGAAACCATATCCGAGGTATCGTCAATACCGCCTCGTACTCCACTCTTGCATGGTGATGAGAAGATCGTTCATGAAGTTAAATGGTGAGAGAATCGTTAATCGTCGCCTTGCCGTGGTCAGCAATGCTACCGTTGTAATGTACTGATCCGTAGTTATGCTACTGTATACATCATGCTGCTCAAAAAATATATCCGCGTCCGTATGCAACACTTATGCAATTACTAGATCATCTGGCGGGTCTCAGACCCGACTAGATAGGGTTGTAGTTTAGTTTAGATGGGGTGGTGCATTTCCTATACTTCTTGATATGTTTCTCCAAATATCAGCACGCTTTCTGACTTTTTGACAAGGTTAAACGTCCTGATGCTCCTGGTGAATTATCTGCAGATCATAACGTGGAATTGCCCTTACTAGGTATGGAGACAATTTACAGCAAGTAACTAAAAAATCATGAAACAGTTTGATTTGGGCAGTATCGACACAGACTTTGGTTATATTCTGTCAGTCCTCGGTTTACTCGGCTATGCCATATAAATGTTTAGCCACCTTAACGGCGGAGACGGTAAGGTATGTTGACGGACCGGGTAAGGACGCAACGCACGGTGAAGTAAGGGGAGAGAGGGGAACAATGGGAGGCGGTGAGGGACGGTGGGAGGACGGCGCATGGCCGCGGGGAGGCAGGGGGGAGAGAGTAGCGCAGAGGGACACGTCAGGGTGCCAGTCGACAGAGGGCAGCGAGCGTGTCAGCACGTGCAGCAGTTAGTTTTTTTTACCTTTCTTCCATGGAATTCCTAGAAAACTAATTATTTCTTTCTCGTTAAAGGGGGAGGGGCCGCTGTGAACCCGCAGGCGGTGTGGTTCTCTCGAGAGAACTCTTCAGCGGGGGATCGACCATACATCAGCCAGCTATGTGAACGTGATTACCGTGCAGACCGGGCCGAGGACGTCAATTATTATTTATTGGCGTGCGTTATGGTGTTTTGACCGGGATGCCATATAATGCTCAACCTCTCTGTGTGAATAATCATAATAAGCAACGGTTCATTTTTTTAGTGAGTTAATCGTACCGTGTTACACCGCAATGAAGGACTGTAACAAATATGTTAATCGATGAAAATGACTATGATTAAACTGTTCCAGAAGCAAGAAAAACCACAGGGGGGGGGGGGCAAAATGGCATCCCCATCAGGGCGCGGGTTAACCCTCGTCGGGCCGGGAGGGGGTGTTTGAACACCCCCCTGCGGTTTTTCGCAGATATCTCAAAAACGGCGGCGCGGACGCCGCCGTTTTTTTGCACACCTGTTTGTGTATCTCTTCTGCACATGTTGTGAAAATTTCAGACCCAGGTCGTCTTAGGTCAGGTCACCAGGTCACGCCCAGGTCGTCTTAGGTCAGGTCACCAGGTCACGCCAAGTGACCTCACCTCAGAAAAAATAAGAATGCTCGTCATAGCTACACCGACTGATCGATTGCCTTGAAACTTTCAGCGATTGATTACAGCAGCATTATCTATAAAATGTGTATCTCGGAATTTTGATATCGGTGACCTAAGGTCAGGTCAATTTTGCGGCCTCTCCTTTATAAGTCAATGCAATGGGAGAAAACTGAAAAGCGTCTGTTTTGCACGAACGCTATTCTAGACACTCTCAAACATCGAGATATAGGTAAAATTGACACACTGAACCGGATAATGGCAACTGTAACCCCTCGTTATGTCCCCGAGGTCATCCCAGGTCACGAACAGAATCAAACAGTTTTTCGCTAATAACTTCCGATAGAGGCGTGCTAGAGCGCTGAAAACGCCTTAGATGTGTTCGGCTCGACGTTGCGGATCGACCGATAAGCAACATGACCTTTTCCGGTCAGGTCATGACCTTGACCTGAGGTCAAATTTTCAAGTTGACCTTTCAACGTCAAATTATAGTTCATTCGACGCGTCTCGAAGAGAGGAACACGATGCTGCCAAAGTAATGTCATGGCTCTTCCTTCGCCCCAGTGGGGGGGGGGGGCATATGTTACCACCCTGTCGCGTTTTTTGCGTGTAAATAAAAAACCGCGGCGCGTAGCGCCGCGCCGCTTGGGGTAGCTTTTGGTACATCAATTTTGGACAATATGTGAAATTTTTGACCCCAGGTCATGTCAGGTCAGGTCACCAGGTCAAGTTAACTGACCAAGCCTAAAAAAGTTTGCAATCATGTCCAGCCTGCAGTGTTTGTCAGAAAGGTTTGAAACTTGTTGGATTGCATGCTGTTATGAGCGCCTACAATTTGTATATCTCGGATTTTTTATATCCGTGACCTAAGGTCAGGTCAGTGGCGTGACCTATCCATTACAAGTCAATGGAGAAAAATGAAAATGCCTCTAGATCCGTGTGTACGCATAGGAACAGTCCAAATATTTCAGAATCACAATGATTTAGTCCACTCGTGATGACCAAGGTGTCATTTTTTTCTGATAGCCTCTAGAAAGGTCATCCGAGGTCATTTGAGGCTAAAACAGCTTTTTCCTAATAACTCGCGATTGGAAAGAGATAGAGCGCTGGGGATGGTCTCTTTGTGTTTGTCTTGTTGAGACGCATCGACTGATATTCAACATGACCTTTTCCGGTCAGGTCATGACCTTGACCTGAGGTGAGGTCAAATTGTCAAGTTGACCTTTCAAGGTCAAATTATAGTTCATTCGACGCGTCCCGGCAAGGGGAACACGATTCTGGCAATAGAAATGTCGTGGCTATTTGCAGTCAAAAGTTATTGTCGAAAAACACTTTTCGTAAAAACAGCCATTTTTGGAGTTTTTGCCCTCTGGAGGCTAAACCGTTGACCTGAGGTCAATATTGATAATGACCTTTTCAAACGAAGAGTTCAAAAGCTATCGATTGCTGTTCCATGCGTTTTTCTAGCTACCATAGTTCCTGAGATAGCGGCATGTTTTCTGAAAAATATAATGACAATTGGCAAATTTTGACCTTTGATGACCTTTGGTGACCCCAATATTACTCTAAGGTGAAAAATGACAGAAATACTTTCAAACGTACTCATTGAGAGCTATCGACTGCTTTTTACCGCGTCTTTCTAGCCCTCTTAGTTTTTTGAGTTAGAGGTGGGTGGTAACATATGCCCCCCCCACTAGGGCGAAGTTGGCTGAGACCGCCACTGGGGCGCGGATGAAGTCAAAAGTTATTGCCGAAAAAAAATGTTTTCGTAGAAACGGCTATTTTTTTAGTTTTTGCCCTCTGGAGGCTAAACCGTTGACCCGAGGTCAAATCTGAATCATTACTCAGAAAGGTTTGTAAAAGGGCTATCGAATGCGCTTTTTTGCGGCGCTGTAGCTCTATCGGTTCCCGATATAGCCGTGGGCAGTATCCAAAATGTTGAAATAGTCAACATTTTACCTTTGGTGACCTCTGGTGACCTGACCTTTGACCTGACCCAAAAAATGACCAAAGTGCTTCCGTCCTTATTTTGGACGTTCTTTCGATTGCCGCTTACCGCGTGTCGCTACGTGGCGCAGGAGCCGAGTTAGAAGGGGGGGGGGGGGTGTTCAGACCAGGGTATAGGTATTGAGTGAACAACCCCCTCGGCCCGGCGCGGAAGTCGCGGAGCAGTGGATAAGGCCACTAATGCGGTACCACGACCCTTAACCATTGATTAGGAGCTCAAAGTAAAGTTCGAGGTTACAAATCAGGGTTCAGGGTCATTTTGCGAAACGTTCTTTTTATTCTCAGCCCAGTTGGTCCAGGCCTCGCCCGCGATGCCCTCTATCAACTAATGTTATTCTAGGTGGCAGCACCATTCTACCTTTCACCCATAATTATTTCTTGGGATGTGCCTTTTACGCAACACGAACCCACAAAATTATTATGCATCATGCACACATACTCATCTCCAGACTCCAAGCAACTTAACCCGCGCCCCGTACGACTATCGGTGTCCCTCTTGAGTGACCACTTGAGTTGCTGGAGTGCCGCTTGTCCTAACTCCTACCGGGGCACACTGATTCCACGGGATGGGCTGTCATCCACTACAGCACACCAGTCCATGATGGAACTCAGACCAATGTTCCCACTCTCCACCTTATCACCAAGTCCCACGCCACGGAAATAATCGTTTTGAAACCAAAGAGTCTACCCAGCCAAATACTGAATACCTACAGAAGACAGGGAAAGCCTTCCTAAGAATAAAGTACCTGTAAAAAAACAACAACAAGAACAGAACAAAAAAAGGTTCAACAATAACATGGCAAGCTTTAACCCTCGCCCGTATTGGTGTTTTTCCAGCCGCGAACGTATAAGGGGGGGGGGGGGGTCCGTTGGACCTCCTTTCCGTTTCGCCCCTGATCGAGCTAGAGCTTCGCGGAAAAAACGAGCGCGTTGCCCGTGACGAGAGGAAGCCGATGATACCTAATTTTAAGGTCCTAGGTCATTGGTTGACCTTGCAGGTCAGGTCAATGACCCAAAAGTCAGGTAAATCGGGACCTGTTAGAACGTCGTAAAGTGTGGCTGCTACAGGGTTTTTCGGGGCGCTGGTCACGAATATCATGTTAGTTTTGATCACAGATGATGTATTTATGCATTTATTCCAGGTCGAGTCAGGTCAGGTCAGGTCAACCAGTAGGGGTCCTGCCGGGTATTCCTAGTAGGTGTCAACCGCCTCTGACAGCTTCGTAACATGTTACGAAGGCACCAAAACTACTTCGTAGATGTTCATATGGTTACTAAATTCGAATTCAGCTCCAAAAACTGGCCTAGAAACATGTAAAACTCGTAAAAGTGAACCGAGGTCACCAAAGGTCAGTGACCTGACCTGACCTTCAGGTGACCTTGACACCCACCCTAATGCATGGGGGCAACATCATATCACATGTTTAAACGCTTGAAACCACGAAAAGACTGCAAACGCGCGGCTAATGCGAGCCGACATACGCCGAACCGCGATTCCGGCCAAACATGGTCTCGAAAAGTAGGTCACAGGTCAAAGGTCATTGGGGTCAGGGTCATGAAATTTTCAGGGTAGGTGTAAAATTAATTAACGCGAGCGTACTGAAAGTTTCGTCGCGATCAGCCGCTTTTTACGCGAGTTATTCGCGAAAAACCATGGGGGGGTCCGTTCGACCTACCTATACGGGCGAGGGTTAACAAGATAAAAATTTGCAGTTTCATTTTTTTGGTCAACACTATTTGGACTTTATCCTGAGGATGACCTATGATC